TGGGCCGGTTTGCCGAATGGCTTAACGCTAGTGAACTATTGCTGTGTGTACCTGATCGGTTGACCAGATAGCTTAAACTAGTGACCTGAGTTAAATGTGTTTCTGGGCTAATGGAGCCCAGATAAAGTAACTAGTGGCTTAACAATGTGAACCTGGGTGCTGTACTCTTAGGTTTATTTAACTAATGACCTAAATAACTATGTGTGTCTGAGCTAATAACTAAAACGTACCTAGGTAGAAATGCGCACTATGCGTGTCATTAACAAACAGGAATCACACTGTAGGCTGATAGACGAAGTAACCCCCAGCAACCACCTGGCTCAGGCGGCCTGAGCAAATAGTTTTAAATGTGTCATTCAAGAGTTGTGAATTTTTTTTTTCCCCATTAACGTTCATCAACATTACTGCAGTGGAAATACTTACGCCCTGCTTTGCTAAATGGCTTAATGCTTGTGGACTATTGCTGTGTGTACCTGATCGGTTGACCAGATAGCTTAAAACTAGTGACTTGACATATGTCTTTCTGGGCTAGTGAAGTCCATAGAAATTAACTAGTGGCTTAGCATTGTGAAACTGGGTGCTATACCCTTAGGTTTATTTAACTAATGACCTAAATAACTATGTGTGTCTGAGCTAATAACTAAAACGTACCTAGGTAGAAATGCGCACTATGCGTGTCATTAACAAACAGGAATCACACTGTAGGCTGATAGACGAAGTAACCCCCAGCAACCACCTGGCTCAGGCGGCCTGAGCAAATAGTTTTAAATGTGTCATTCAAGAGTTGTGAATTTTTTTTTTCCCCATTAACGTTCATCAACGTTACTGCAGTGGAAATACTTACCTTTAACTTATTAATAAGCTAACAAAATATTTGGCAAAAGAATAAATCACTGTACACCCTGTAGTTGTGGTGTCATATGCCCAGGACTGATTCTGCCTCAGAAGCAGCTGCTCATTTATTTTGATAATTTAAAATATTTATATTGCATATTAAAGTAAGTAAAGTGATGTGACATGTGGCCAAGTATAGTGACCCATACTCAGAATTAGTGCTCTGCATTTATCCCATCCAAAGTGCACACACACAGCAGTGAACACACACACACACACCATGAACACACACCCGGAGCAGTGGGCAGCCCGGGGAGCAGTTGGGGCTTCAAGGGCACCTCAGTCGTGGTATTGAAGGTGGGAGAGAGTGCTGTACATTCACTCCCCCCACCTACAATCCCTGCCGGTACGAGGCTCGAACCCGCAACCTTTGGGTCACGAGTCCGACTCTCTAACCATTAGGCCACGACTTCCCAAAGTAGAACAATAATAGAACAATAATTGAAATGTGTGGCTCGTTCTAAGATGGCCTTGATCAAGACACTACAGTGACTTTATTTAAATGCAGTTGTCTGCTTTTATATTGTGTCTAAATTAAAATTTGCAACTTAGAAATGCTGTGCATGCTGCTGAGAAAAATCTCGATGACTGAATGCCTATGCAAGCTGCTGCTACTGCACAAGAGACTGAACTGCTAAGAGCTCCATTAATTAGGCATACGAGTAGCTAGGCGAATGCCTATTTTACTCTAACATGGTGTCTATGCCAGACACGAGCGGCACAATATGACCAAATCAATAGACCCGTAGCGATAGGTATAGCGGTCTGTAATGTATGCAGTGCGATACGGCCAACGCAACAAAACTTCTGCTACTGCTGCTTGATAATATTGATAATATTCACAAACATTTCAATGCGTAGTTGAAGTACATGCTGTTGCTGTTAATGATATTCATAATGTTGTAGTAGGAATTTATTGTGCGAGCTGTTGCGGTTGTAATGTTTCATCAGAATTTGCAAAGCATAATCTACTGCTGCTGCACAAACCTGCTGTAAACCCTGTTGAATTAGCAAAGTAATAAATACCTATTGCAATTTAAAGAGTTAATTTACCCTGCATGAGTTATCACTAATATTTTATGCAACTAAAGCGCTTTCTGCTGCCGCTGCTATATTAGCCATAATAATGACTTGCTATGCATGCTGCTGCTAATATTATTTCGAACCTTGCATCTGAATTTGCTATGCATGCTATACAATTTGTTAACATTGCGATCTGAATAACTATGCATACTGCTGCACAAAAGTACTTAGAATTGCTACTGCCCATTTATTAAATAACCAACCAATTCCTATTTCTCTTTGAAGAGTTCTATAAACCCTGTTGAACTGAATAGCAAAGTAACAAAGCCTAAGTTCACTACCATCCAAGCGTTATCTTATCACGGAAACTAAATGTACTTTTTGCTGCCGCTGATATATTAGCAACAGTGATAATTGGATTGCCATGCAGACTGCTGCTAATATTTCTAACATTGCATCTGAATTTTGCCATGCGTGCTGCTGCTATTAAAATTCACTAAACTAGTGATCTAAATAGCTATGCAATGCATAATGCTGCTATAGCTGCACAAAAGTTCTTAGAATTGCTATAAGCGTCTTTATTAACAAGCAAACGCAATCATATAATGCCTGTTTTGCTTTGAAAAGTTCACAATCTACTGTAAGCCCTGTTAAAGAAGCAAATAAATAAAATGCCTATTTCACTTTAAAGAGTTACTTACCCCATGCGTTATCACTGAAATTTCAAGCAACTAAAGTACTTTCTGCTGCCGCTGCTATATTAGCAACAATAATTTGACTGCTAATAATCCTGCTGCTAATATTATTGTCACAGATCGGCCAGGCTCACCCACCTCACAATCTTAGCGAACACCATCACCTGAGTTCTGATCATACGCACCTGTCACGGATCAACAATCACCCTCAAGCTCCCATTCATAAGCACACACCTCACACCACTCCAGTGTCCGATCCCGTTCCAATGAAGTGGACTCTCTCTCTGATATCCGTGAGATTCAGTGAAAGACTTACCTACCAGTTGTACTTACCTCCTGTGTTTCCACCAGTGTTCGTTCCAGTCCCCTACTCTGTGGATACCCCGTCACTCATCGTCTGAGGTGTGTGCTATCCTCTGTCTCACTTCCACGATCTCCTGGGAATCCCTTTTACTAGAGTTATCTCTCCTCATCTTCCCAAAGGACTTCCAAACTAACTTTAATACTCACCTGCCCGTACCCTCTGCGCGTCTTTATTAACAAGCAAACGCAATCAAATAATGCCTATTTTGCTTTGAAGAGTTCACAAAATCTACTGTAAGCCCTGTTAAAGAAGCAAATAAATAAAATGCCTATTTCACTTTAAAGAGTTACTTACCCCATGAGTTATCACTGAAATTTCAAGCAACTAAAGTACTTTCTGCTGCCGCTGCTATATTAGCAACAATAATTTGACTTCCTGCTGCTAATATTATTTCTAACATTGCATATGAAATTGCTATGCATGCTGCTGCTTTTAAATTAGCTACATGCGACCTGAATACAATGCATACTGCTGCTACAGCTGCACAAAGGTACTTAGAATTGCTATAAGCCCCTTTTAAATAAACAAAATGCAAATGATGCCTTTTCGCTTGAAGAGTGCACATACCATCCATTTTAAGTCACTGAAACTTCAGCAATTGTAAGTTGCTTTGGATAAAAGCGTCTGCAAAATGAATAAGAATGTAAATGTTAACTACAAACTACCTACTGCTGCCGCAACTAAATGCATAATTTGATTTGCTATGCATACTGCTATAAATAATTAGCTAATAACGCAATCTGAAATTCTATGGATACTGCTGCTACGCTCTGTGAAAGTACTAGAATTGCTGTAGCTCATTCATGCATTATCGCTGAAATTTCATGCAACTAAAGTACTTTCTGCTGCCCTTGCTATATTAACAATAATAATTGGTTGCTATGCAGACTGCTGCTAATATTATTTCTAACATGCATCTGAATTTGCTATGCAATTCTGCTGCTATTCACGAAAAATTGCGATCTGAATAGCTATGCATACTGCTGCTACAGCTGCATGAAAGTACTTAGAATTACTATAAGCGTCTTTATTAAACAATGAAACGCAAACAAATAATGCCTATTTCACTTTGAAGAGTTCACAAAATCCCTGTACGCCCTGGTAAATAAACGAAGTTATAAAAGCCTATTTCAATTTAAAAGAGTTACTTACCCCATGCGTTATCACTGAAATTTCATTTCATTTCAGTTACAACCAGATATTTCCTGCTGCCGCTGCTATAAACAACAGAAATAATTTGACTTGATTTGCTATGCATACTGCAATGAACAATTCGCTAATAACGTGATCTGAATTCTATGATACTGCTGCTACACTCCATGAAAGTACTATAATTGCTGTAAGCCCAACTGAATACACAAACAGTAAATTCCAGTTTAAGTGTGTCCTACTGTTAACTACATTGTACATGGACTACTGATTGGAAATGATTTATTATTAGTAGTATCTTTATATTTTAAACAAATTCATAATTAATTATCTTTAAACTATCACTAAACATTACTTTTATAATAAACTCTTCACTATCGCTGAACCAAGGTAACGAGTGAAATAGAGCCCCTTTAAGAATGAGCGCTCCCTCTTCT